CAGAGGTCTTGTGGAATCCATGCCTCAATGCATCAGGGCTGTTTTGTTATCATGAGGGGGATCTACACGATATTAAGCAGGTAGTTTTAATGTTGTTGGTAACCAGTGTATACAAGGCATTTTCATCCACAGAACTACTGCTCACTGGATGTTTTTTCACACCATTCTCTGGACCATTGCCGTAAAAAAAATATATATATTTTTTTTAGTACAATATTACTCTTAGAAAATAACACCTCATTATTTTTTATGTATATTGAAATTTCTTTCAATAATTGCCTACCTTTCCCATTCCCCCTTTTCTGACAGTCATCTTTATGCACCTTGTTAGATTGTCAGTTATGCCGACCCATTCCTCACTAATTTCAGGATTGTCTGACACAAAATGCTTCAGCCTGAATTTGGTCCAGCTTGCATCCAGGCTGAACATTGCTAGACGGTTGAAAGCCAGACTCAATGCTTCAAATTTGGGCCTTATTATGGCCCCACCATCCGGCTAAATATTCTAAAAGCCCCACCCGCTTACCTTATTTAGTTTTTATAAATAGCCCCATCTGCTGGCCAGTGGCTGCTCAGTCTCTAGTTTTAAACATTTGTAGATGATTAGTAGATATAAGAGATGTGCATGGGCAAATAATTTGGCTCGGTTCGGCACTTCCCTAACCCTACTAGGGTTAGAGGAAGGTTGAGGAAAGGGTTAGGGATAGGATTATAGGAAGGTTGGGGTAAGCGTTAGGAGTAGGGTTAGCTTCCTATCATAATTCCCTTAATTTACCCCCTCTTTCCTGTTTTGCCACTTTTCAGAAATCCGAAGCACTTCAGCAATTCGGAAGCAATTAAATTCTCACCGAAACGAATTGCACATGTCTAGTAGATCAAGCATGTCAAACTCAAAGTCTAGCAAGGGCCAAATAAACAAGGTTTAAGTTTATGTGGGCTGCAATAAAAAAATGTTTCATAGAAAAGTAGGTTTATTTTGAAAAGTACAGAATAAAAAAAACATCCCCCTCTACAAAACCACAGTACCCCCATATACTAAATCCCAGTCCCCCACCCCTCTACTAAATCCCAGTATTCCCCTCTAGCCAACAAGCAGACTCCACTCACATTGCCACTGCCAGTATGCGACTCCGGAGCCCGACCTCTGGTATATCCCAATTGGCGCCATCCACACCCTGTGCCAAAGCGGATCCTCCCGCTACTTCTTGACACCGTGTGAAGGTGGAGCACGTCGACAACACGTTGGAATGCGACATGGCATTGCGTGTCTGTGCACCTCCAGGTCCTCCACTGTCCAGCCGTGGCCATCACAACACTGACTGACACACACACACACACACACACACACACTCACTCACTGACAGACTCATTCACAGACACACTCAGACAGACACACACTTACACATTCACATTATTGTAATTATTCCTGGGGATCATCTGTCTGGAGATCTCCTTCTAGCTCCCTCACGCACAGTTTAGGGTTGCCAGGCGCTGGAATATGACTTCAGTGAGTGAGGAGCAGGAACACTGAGCTCCCTTGCTGCATCCACCTTCCCCTCCTTCCTGGACAGGTAAATTATAGCAGAGTAGGCACCTGCAATGTGGGAAAAGCAGGTGCCTACTCTGCTTGGAACACTAGGCATGTACTCACAGCTCGCTGGGCTGCAAAGATATCCATTGTGGGCCGCGAGTTTGACATGCTTGAAGTAGATATACCCCAAACTCCTGCATGGCCACTAGTAGCATAGGGAGTTGTTAAACCTCCCTTATTATTTTTATTTATTTATTTACTTGTATTGCCAAGGGTTATTTAACATGCCAAGGTTTATTTGGCTGCTAGCCATGTAAGTGGGCAAATCGTACTTAAAATTAAGGTTTGCTTGCTGGGTGCATTCGGCCCCTATTTGTGTCGGATTCTGATGTGAAAACACAGATTTTAATCCGGTTACTGAATGCATCTATGTGATTGCTGCAGATTTGTTGGGGAGACCGAATTTTGACAATTTTTGAAAAATATTGCCATTTGGAATTCGGTTCATCTGGACGAAAATCTGTGTTTATTAAATAACCCAGACAATGTTGCAAAATAGAAAGCATTGAGTCAGATAGAAGACAGCAAGGTGGCTGTCAGAAAGTGGAAATGGGGAAGTTAGACAAGGGCTTTTTGTAAAATTAATATTTCATAAAGACAGAATTTGAATGAAATACTCAAATTGTCGGTGTTGGGATTTCACTTAAATTCCAACTTGTCAAGAGATTTGTAAACATAAAAGACAAGGAAGCGTTTTGAATTATTTGTTTCATGCGTTTATGTGGGTGACTCTGCGAGCCAATACCCACCACATCCCAAGTAAGGGTTTTAACTTTTTTATGCAATAAATCAACTTGTGATACTATTCAATTGGAGGTCCTGCCCTTCTTTTTACACACAGCATAACAGAATCACCAGTGGATACATCTTCTGGAATACCCTGCAGTGTGGGGATATCCCCTCTCCCAAAGAGCCTTTCAAACCCAGAGCCAGGGGTGATAGGGCTCTGGGACATGTGAGTTTTTTTCCCTAAGAATTTTATTACGTACATTACCATTATCAGATGGTCTGCACTATTATTTGTCTTTTATGTTTACAGATTAATTTAGCGCGTTTTTTTGGTAAATATTATCTTTCTTTACACATTTCTTGTGCATTGTATTTCTAACGCTGCCATATTATCTGTATTGGATTTTATAGCGCTCACATATTGTTTTTTTTGTCAAGAGATTTACTGAGGCAAAGTAGGGACTACTTTGTTGCAGTAAATTTTCTACGGCTGACACACCTCGACTCTGGCTGGAGCCATTAAGAATTGTCAATCCCTCAAACGTCACCAGTGACAGCTGCAAGGAAGTTAGATATATCTATGGAGGATCCCACAGTCTCATGGGATAATCCATACAACTCTGCTGTACATACGCGAGACTATAGCAGTGATGTTGACTCCTGGCAGCTGAAGTGCTGGGAGCAGAAGAGGACCAGCTGGAAACGAATTTGGGATTCCTGCAAGAGACAGACCCAGGTAAGTAGAACTCACCTTTGCCTGCCCTGCCCCACCTCCCAGGGCCACCAGACCCCAGTGACGATGTCACCATCTGGGATATTTTCAAATTATGCAAAGTCGTTAGTGCCGCTTTAATTCTAGAAACTTTTTCCATGAAAGTCCCAGAAAATCATCAGTTTCTGAGATATTCAAACCAACAATCATTTCACAGTAATGTGTTTTCCCATTCTGATATTTAGTTTGACAGCTGAACCTCTTCACAATGACTGCATGCTTTTATTTGATGAGTTGATGTCTTATGATTTGCTGATTGCAAAAAGCAGGGCTACCTAATAACATGACCGTAACATCCCCAGTCTATAACTGGGATAGCCAACAGACTTCATGTCTGTAAGGGCATCATGTTTAAATTTAGAAATACTGAAGAGCCGCAATTACATTTATTGGAATATTCGACAGAACCAAATATTGTCTCATGCCTACTATTGTCCCATGTGTCTCATTCCCCCAGCTCCTCATGTGTCTCGTTCCCCCATGTGTCTCGTTCCCTTATTCCTCCAGCCTCCCACATGTGTCTCAGCGTGGTCTGACTGTGGTAGACGAGCTTGTTTCCTTCCATCCGGTCTGACAGGAAGCAGTTCGACGCTGTCAGTGTGTGTACTTTGTTAGGCCTGGGTAAAGGGAAACAAATAAGCTCCTCTACCGCGGTCTGTGGCTCTGCGCTCCCCTCCTGCGGTTCAATTGGATTCTGCTCCCCAGGCCGATGCACCCTAACCGGTCGGCCTGTGCCACTTATGGTAGCGCTGGCCCTGAAATTGTTCTCGAGCCGCATATGGCTTTCGAGCCGCCATTTGGCCATGTCTGGTCTATAATATATCAAAACTATGTTTTCTTGAGTACCACCTTTCAAGACACAAAGTAAACTTTGCATCAAGGGGGTTAAAGGACCACTCTAGGCACCCAGACCACTTCAGCTTAATGAGGTGGTCTGGGTGCCAGGTCCAGCTAGGCTTAACCCATTCTTTTATAAACATAGCAGTTTCAGAGAAACTGCTATGTTTATGAATGGGTTAAGCCTTCCCCCAATTCCTCTAGTGGCTGTCTCATTGACAGTCATTAGAGGCGCTTGCGTGCTTCTCACTGTGAAAATCACTGAGAGCACGCAAGCGTCCATAGGAAAGCATTGATAATGCTTTCCTATGTGACCGGCTGAATGCGCGCGCAGCTCTTGCCGCGCGTGCGCATTCAGCAGCATGGGAGGAGAAGAGGAGGATCAGAGGAGGAGAGCTCCCTGCCCAGCGCTGGAAAAAGGTAAGTTTTTACCCCTTTCCCCCTTCCAGAGCTGGGCGGGAGGGGGACCCTGAGGGTGGGGGCACCCTCAGGGCACTATAGTGCCAGGAAAACTAATATGTTTTCCTGACACTATAGTGGTCCTTTAATAAGTATATTGCTGCTATAATATCCCTTCTGGGGCAAAACAACAAATTTAAACACATCCCACCTTACCTCTCCAGTCTCATCTTGTCCAAACATTTGAAATATCTGATAAATTGAGAATAAAAAAAGTGAAAGCATCTTTACTGGCAAATAAATAAATATATATTTTTAAAAAAACAAATACACAAGGATGTTAAACTTAAAATTCCATCCACAAAATATCTACAGAATCCTATGTAAATATTTGAATTACACGGCTGGAAAATCTTGTTTGTGTTTGGGATGGTGGGGAGACAGAGAGAAACACTGCTCTAACCAGCAGAACTCCAGGAGACAAGGAGTTAAATCACTTCCCCGTGTTTGTTGCTTTGTCCTGCACTTTAGCCAGTGCCAGAGCCCATTCTGTGAGCACTATACCAGACAGTGAATGGTGAGAGCAGCCTGATAGCCTGGCACCAACCTGCTCTTAGCTCACCCAGCACAGACCTCTCGTTGCTAGGCAATACCCACAGCAATGACGTCACTGCCCGACCAAGAAAGCCTCTTCTTACAATGTTTCCTCTCCCTGTTAACTTCCTACTGCACAGAGTGCTCCTGGGAGAGAGATGGTGGAACCCTCACTGCACAGGGTAGGAACTCTTCCTGACTGCAGGACACCTGAGCACACAAGTAGGTCATTACTGAATTCCACCCCTCCCTGCCACCCTCCTGGGTCTCATCTCACATTATTACACTGCTTAGATTAGGGACAGACAGATAAGAGAAGAATTGTGAAAATCTTCAGGAAAATACAAACTTTGTAGAAATATATATATATATTCTTCTACAAACTTAGTATTGAGAGAGAGAGAGAGAGAGAGAGAGAGAGAGAGAGACTGTAAGCTCATTTGAGCAGGGTCCTCTTCAACCCATCGTTCCTGTAAGTTTTCTTGTAATTGTCCTATTTATAGTTACATCCCCCCTCTAATAATATTGTAAAGTGCTACGGAATCTGACGCTATATAAATGGCAATTATAATAAAAATAATAATAAGATATATATAACGAGTCTCCGCTGACCAAGCTAAAGGTTTGTTATATGAGTTTGGAAGAAAAATATTGAACAAATATTGCTTGCTACAAGATCTCCTTAAACTTCATTACCTCCCCCCCACCCCCTTCACTGCTTCCTATACTTCTTTCAAAGTTATGCACTAAAAGTGAGAATTCAAAGTGAATTTCAAAATAAAGGCTGCAATTAACTAACTGGCAAAAAAAAATCTCTGCCAACCTTGCTAGCAGATTGTCTATTTAGTCCTAACAGTTCAAATTAATGTGTATATTCTTTAACATTTCCCTTTTTATCACAAAGCACCGTGAAGTGAATCTAAAGGTGAAATGACCACCTATTTTATATTGCATTATATAGATAAAACATGGAGAAATTTTAAATTACTTAAGTTGCTCCTTAGTGTTAGGAAAAAGTACATTTTTATAATACTTTTATTTCAATACAGGGCAAAGCATCATTACAGCTGCTCAAAGAAACCTATCCTACAAGCTAATTAGTTTAGACCCAAGACACTTGGAAATGAGAGAAATCTCAATGTATTCTTCCTGGTAAAATATTTTATAAAATAAATCTTCAGAAGAAGTTCCAGTCATCACACAGGATGAGTGGAATGTTCTCTAAACTCATGCTATTGACTTATACACAGCCTGATTCACTAAACTGGGTTATGTGCACTGATGGGCACTGGAATGCTGTCTGCAGCTCTGCTCTCTGTTTTTTTAGAATTAAGGGGCACGGTGGTGTAGGGTAAATTATAGCTGGAGAGATTTTTGTAAAATTTCTATGGTGCTAAAAGTGCCTCTTTAAGTAGGTATTTATTAAAACAGCTCTGTCATTCACTTAGCAGTCCTTCCACAAGCCAAGGGATCCCTCCCTATACCCTGCCTATTCCCTACAACCATTTAAGGATCTGTGAGCAGTGCAACTTACAATTTCCAGTTGTGCCAGTCCTGCTGGGTCTCCTTTCACAGTGTCACCATGTTCTGCCCTTCTTTGGACTTGTGTGCCAAATGATGTGCTCGCCAAGGCTTCCAATAGACCTCTGATGACTCTTGTGAGTGCGCAAGAGTCATCACATTAGATCCATTATGCACACTCCCATGTGACGTGGGACCCACCAGATGTGACGCTAGGCTGGAAGGAAGTGAGTACAGTCTGACCAGTCAGTGACAATGTTGACAAAGACCATGAAACTTGACTTAAGCTCCACCCTTTGTCAACTTTTGTTAAAGGGACACTATTGACACCCAGACCACTTCATTTCTTTGGTTGCAGTGTCTGTCCCCTTAACCTTGTAATGTAAATGTTTGCATTGCAGTGCTAAGGCTGCGTGAAACAACGCTGGACGTCTTCATGTTCTGCATGAGGATGTCCAGTATCAGGGAAAAACCCCCATATGAAAGCATGGAGGCTCCCCACTTATGTGCGTTAGGCCCCCCTTTGGATGACGTTGGAGGAGCCAGGCTGCGAACCAGCAGCAAGACAGAGCTGGAATCAGGTAAGTGAATAAAGGGTTATTTAATGCTGAGAGAGGGCACAGCAAAGGAGCTCGTTAGTGTTTCTTTAATAGTGTTTTTTTATGCACAAGTTAAAAAAAAAAAAAAAATAATAGTCCCTACTTCTCCCGATGTATAACTTTGAAAATATGAATTGTTTAAAAAAAAATAAATAAAAAAAATAAAGAGGACAGCAGAAGCGGAGTGGCGGGGGAGGGTACAGAGTGGAGGGGGAGGGGTTGGTTGGACATTCCCATGGTGGTATGGGGGTTTAAGGATTACTTTGGAGTCTTGTTGCAAAGCTAGTTGAAGCAAGGTTGCATGGCTTAGTAGTTGGTAGTATATATAAAGCCACTTTTACGCTTTTATTTATATATTATTTATATCTTGCAAAAAATTCTGCAGCAATTTACAATCGTAGAATGGGGATAACTGACAACAAGTAGTTGACAGAAAATATTAACACAGACGAGAGGTAAATATATACATCTCTTAAAGTCCTTCAGTCATACAAGGGCTATTTACTAAACAACATATTATACAACTTCTCAATCCAAATGGCAAAATTGAGGTAAAAATAGCCATGTTGTGATTATAGCTCAGCCGGATAACTTTTTTTCAGATCAGCTATTTTTGCACGTGATTTAATTTGTGGTAAATCTGAGTTTATTGAATAACTGATAATCATTGTTAAAATAGTAACTATTTCAGTTCCGTGAACCTGGTCTCTCCATGCACTCTCCGTGTGACAGTCATTGTGTGGAAGAGATATTACAGACAGAGAAAGTATCGTTTTTTTTCTGCACTCCTGTCTTGAAGAGAAACACGTCTCCCATGGTGATGTTATACTGCCCGTTGGAATTTTTTAGTTGGGGGGGTTAGCTGATCTAATAAACCTTTCTGTGAGTTGACAGATACAAAGTTAAATGTTTCACAGCAACAACTATTATGAGATGTCTTGTTTAACACACACAAACCATAGTGTTCAGAGATCCAGAGTCTGACAAATAAATACTAACATAATATAACACTAATATAAGTATACAATATAATAGGATTTTATTCTTATTCAATATATTTGCTAGCAAGGAGAAGATAAAAAATAAGGTACACATGACAGAAATAATCCGTCATGGTTCCCTTTTATTTCTGAAGTTGTGTCCTTAAGGGGTTAATATATGTATCAAAAATATTCCAAGTTCTACTTGAAAAAAGAGAAACTGCAAAAGTCAAAGAAATGGCAGTGCTTTCGACTAAACGGTTAAAGGGACCCTCCGGGCACAATAACAACTTTATCTGAATGAGTTATGGTGCCATGAGGTCCATGGCACCAGCTTTCCTTTAGAGAGCATCAACTGACGCTAAGCAAATCAGTAGCTCCCTGTTCAAAAAACGGCTTGAGAAAAATATGTATGTTTCTCAAGCCCTATTGTTAATGGGCATCTACCGTTTCGCAGAATTCCTGTGCGAAGCTATCTGAGGCTTCCTGATTCCAACTTCAGACAAAAGTGGAAGGGCAGCGCTAACCGGTGCTTGATTGAAAATTTTAGGATTAAACTGTTCGTTAAAGTGAGTACAAGGGACTCCTGGCACCATAACAACTTAATTTGATGGAGTTGTTATTATTTATTTATAAAATATTTTACCAGGAAAGATACATTGAGACAAAACATTGCATTGATACAATAGGGTATAATAAAATACAAAAACAATATTAATACACAATATACACAAAATTTAACGTAGAACAGGAAGAAAATATATAATCAACCATAACACGTGCATTCTGTTTTGAGGGATCTCTTAAAGGACTTTAGGCTTGGGGAAGATTTTAAAGTGTGCGGGAGGTCGTTCCATAATTGCGGTGATCTGTAGTTAAAGTGTTCCTTTAATTGTTGGGATTTCATCAGGAAATTAAAAAAAAATTAGGTCAAAATATGTGAATTGGGAAATATTAGCAAATCTGCTTTTCATTTTAAATATTTTCACCACTGGTAAATCCTAGGATTTTCATCCAAGATGGGTGTTGCACAAATTGTAGGGATTTTTATTTTCTAAACACCAAATTGCAAAATTTAGGCAAACAGAGCTAATTTTCAGAAGGGGCCGGGAAAGTTTCAGGATGGTGAGACTTTACCCTCAGAATTTGTCTCTGCCCCTGACTTGTAGATCTCTGCCAACTTAACCACATGTATCCAACTTATGACCTAATGAGACGTCATGTCCTGTTCAACACCATAAGCCTATATATGCATATACGCGAGAAACACTTTAAAAACGTGTGAGTCCAACCCTTGATTCTGTTACTCACTGACAGCATTAGAAGACAGGACAATACACACATCTGTCTTTTAGGACATACAGGGTCTGATGGCCAAGTGCAAAGTCAATGGGTGATGTCATGTCCAGCCTGTTCCCCTCCATCTCCAGTATTTCAGAAAAATAAACACAGTTGTTTGTCTTTTTAGATGATTATTTTATATCTACCAGATAATTTAATTAACACGATACAAAGCAACAGACAGATAAAATGCAAAATTTGTTGGGAGCTGAGGATGTGACTTTTTTTTGCTTCTTGTTGAATGCTATTATGAAACATTTTGCACATTTTTTTTTATAGATTATTTTATTTATTCATTATTTCAGCACATTTAATATTTTTTGCCTCTTAAATATTAAACGTTGCTAAGACAGCAACACTTTGTAAACAGTAAGCATTGTATTTAAATGTCATTTTACATAACTTTCTATTATGTATATCAGCAGGAGGGCTGGAAACTGGCAGCTTGGGGTATTAATTACTGTCTGACAAAGGAGGCTCAGACGCCACTCTTCCTGTGGCAGCAAATACAGGCTCTCCCTGCAGAGAAGCACTACAGAGGAGTGGACGAGACCACCCTTTATCCAGCTCTGGACATGGAAGGAAAAAGACTGCGACGAGGAGAGTAGCAGCACAGCGAACTTGAAAAGATCTTCCCAGTGCAGCTCTTGTGAAAAGTGATCAGCTGGCAATGCTTGAGACATGAGAGCAAGTTAGTAACTTATTTATTCTGCCTTGGGGGTTTATTCACTCGGTACTGAATTGTGGGGAACTGAAAACAAAAATCCCAATTTTAAAATTTAAAGTGGAACTGTCATTTCACAGGATTTTTAATATGTTATATATTTGTTTATCTCTATATTTAGCAAATATGTGTTTGTGAGGTCTGAAAAAAAATTAAATTCCATGTAGAAATCCACACATCTGTCCTAGAACTGGGCGCCTCCATTTTGGCTCCCTATCAATCATTGTCATAAATGTTGCCCTTTTCGGCCATTGTGGATAGAAGACGAGAAACCTAAGCAATGTGTCTGTTCTCTTCATTTGGTTGTTGTGCTCTAACTGTGTCTGAACTGCATCGTGGAATATTTTGCTAAATCAATAGTATGCATTTCAGAAGAAAACAGAGCAACACATGAAAATAGAGAAGAGTGTGTGTTTTATTTTATTTTTTTGTGGTAATTTCCATATAAGTGACCCTAATGCTTCAGGCCAAAATAGCTGTGACGGAATGAATCTGCAACTCCACCTTGGCTGTTTTGATTTAAATGACTAAATTGACTAGGTTCGTCACTAATCTGGAAATTGTGAAAAACGTATCAGAGAATTGTACATTTCAGACTAAAATAGGCAAATTGCAACCATTTACCAACACAGGCATTTATATTTAGTCTGGTTATTTTGGCTACAATTTGCAGTTTTATTATCAATTCTCTACAATTGCCAGTTTAGTAAATTGGATGCTTAGGGCATGAAGACCCATGTGGCTCCATATTAGCAAAGCTGTTACAGTAGTGTGCTCGCTAAAGAGTGTGCTCGCTGAAATGCTTTATGTGTGAATACTGTGTCCTCTTTTTTTGATTTTACAAAAAGTGCAGATGTCAGTAGAAATTGGCACATTTATGAAAAATCCATGTTCAACTCCCTGGCTGCAAGTAAGTCACAGGTCCTATTACTTCCTGGTTATTTAGCTCAGTGGAGCTAAACTCAAGAGGCATCAATTGCTCAGAGCACCTGCCTTGCAAAGACTTCTCACTGAGTTGCATTTGGAAGTCTGTGATTGGACAGTCACAGAAAGTCTGGGCGAGTTTAGAGAAGGAGGTCTTGCAAAGGTTTTAGACAAGAGGTCTGCAGCTTTTGTAAACGGTTTTTAGATATTCCCTCAGTAAAAAAAATAAAAAAAATGCACAATTAAATTGTGTGTACTTTGCCATCTGCAAAAGACCTCTACCTTTGATCACTGTATTAAGTTTACAAGATCTCTTTAATGCCTCCCTTCTCTCACACACGTAACACAGTGATCTCTACATAGACCTACCCCTTCAGACATAAAAGGACATTATAGTCACCCAGATCACTTAAGCTCATTGAAGTGGTCTGGGTGCAGTGTCCCAGTCCCACTTAGTCCTGCAATGTAAATCATTGCAGTTTTTGAGAAACTTCAATGATTACACGTCAATCAGTGGCTAATTGACTTTTGGTCGCCTGACGCTCTGCATGAGGACATCCAGCGTCAGCGAATCCCCATAGAAAACATTGAAGCAATGCTTTCATATGGGGAGAGCCTGCACATGCGCATTAGCCTCCTCACAACGTTGGATGATGTCAGAGGAGGTGGAGCGGCGACCCGGCGCCGAGGGAGTTCAGTGCTGGAATCGGGTAAGTGTCACTGCATGGAGGATCGGCGGTTCTCTCCACGGAAATCCTGACATTGGACCGCAAAAGTGAAAATATTTTGTCGCCTATATTCTGACATAGGACCACAAAGGGTTAAGAACACCTCCAGCCAGTTGAGCTGACAGCGAGAAGTGTTTTCTGGTTCACTCTCCAGTGATACCTTATAGGAAGCATTGTGTTTGGCACATTTGCAGCAAAAGTCATGCATGCACCAACTTAATTTAAAGAGAGAAACTATTGTCACTAACAAACTCCCCGTGATGAGAGAGGACTTGCTACTGGATAAAAAGGTGAGTAAGCTTTCTTTTATGGTGTGCATGGCATTTACTGTAGTTACTGAGTGTTTTACACTCCAAACAGCAATTAGTTTTATTGTGTCTGAAGTTAATTTTCTCCAGATGTAATTTGATTATAACTCACATAATGCACGTTTGGCTGACAGAGAAACATATCATTGGAGAAGACCATTACATATTATAAAACCAGTACATGTTGGTTCACTAAATACTCCCCCCACCCTTTAGAACATTTATATACAAACTGCCTATGAACTGATCTGAGTTTCCCATCAGAATTCGTCCAGATCAAAACAGTGCATGAAATAGGTCTGCAATTGCTCAGGAATTAATTCCCAAACGATTCCTGAGTTTTTTTTCCCTTAATTCATTAATGACTGTTGACTGCAAAAAAAATAAATGGGATCCCCTGTATCCTGGAAAATAGAAACATTTGCTGCAGGGCACACAACCGCTTAATCCAGCCAGGGTGCACTCACCATAAAGCACTTTCCAAGTGCCTCTTTAAAACAATATATCACTATATAAAGGATTCTCACCAAATTATCATACAAATAAACTTTATGTATATAATACTCTAAAACCACATATATACAAAAATCACAACAAGGCGAGGTAAAAAGTTACGTCAATTAACTAAATGCAGCATAATTATATCAGCAGCCTATTCATAAGCAGAGAAACATGCAGAACTACCATGTGTCTCTTCCAGTTTAAACCGGATATGCGTTAGTATGATAATTTGGCAAACACAGACTGGAAGGACAACAGGTGGCTATATGTAAATTAATTCTTAAACACTGCCATGGCTAAGGTGCCTTGAGTGCCCCTTCAATTACCAATGTGCTCTGTATTGCTACATACTTAATTCACAACAGTGATGTCAATCTTGCACAGTTCCATATTTTTGTGAATCATCTCTGACAAACAAGGTTTGTATGATAACATTTTACTATTCAAAATATAATCTTTTGCTTTTCTGTCTCCCTACTCCAGGGGTAGGCAACCTTTGGAACTCCAGATATGGTGCACGCCATCTCCCATGATGCTCTTTTAGCGATTATGCTGGTAGAGAATCAGGGGAGATGTATCCATTAACATCTGGAGAGCCGAAGGTTGCCTAAGACTGGCATAATCCCTTGATAAATAGTTAAAAACGGCAATAAAAAGAAGCTGGGGAAAAAAGCAAATTAGCATGAAAAGACATGAATTAAACTGCTACGTAAGCTAATAGAATACACAGCACATAAACTAGTGAAAGCAGATGTAAGGTGAGCAGTCAGGGCTAACAATTATAAACACATATATGTTCTATTATTTCCAGGTACTTTTTTAAATGGATGAAAATACAACGGTTTTGCCTCTCACTGTTCATCTACTTGCCAGCTCCGAACAATCATCAATATTACAACAAGCTGTTGACAAATTCCTGTGCAGAATATGTCCAGATGTGAGACTCTTCCTGGTATCCGAAAGAATGGCTCCAAACAATCAAAATGAGTCCCATAGGAAAAGGTTGGCCTTCCCCGGCATCTCTGTCACAATGTTTCTACGTGAGGACCGAGGTGAAGAAAGGATATCACTACTGCATGGCTTCTTTCAGTTGCCACCATGGAATCAAGTTAACACAGAACTTAAACATGTAAGATCCTGTCCCATTAGCCAATCGACGTGCGATTATTACTGTCTAGATGTGGACATGCCGGTGTGGGGGATAAGACAGGTGCACTATGGAATGGAGATTGTAAGACTCACCCTGTATTGTAACTTTGATAATTATGAGGATGCTGTGAAACTTTACGAACTGATCCTACAAATGGAGGCAATTACCCAGAAACCCGGATTCTGTTTCTTTGCACTGTATGGTACAAAGTATGCATCCATTCAGCTGTCGTTAAAGCAGCTACCCCCTGGGATATCTGTGCAGGTGAAAGAAGCATGTGCACTTCAGTTCGTGGTGGAAGCAATAGGACAATTGGTTCCTTTACTCCCCTATCCTTGCATGCCAATTAGTGATACGAGATGGCAAACCCAAGATTACGATGGAAACAAAATCTTACTTCTGGTAATGAATTGTGTTTATAAAATATGGGATATCTCAAAAACAGAGCTCATTAAGTTATATGTGTACAAAGGTAATAACACTATAGATTGGGCCTAGGAAGAGTATATTACTGGCAGTAGATTAAAACCATCCAGTTAACAGCAACTGTAACCAGTTGCCTGAGTTCCACACTTCCATGAGTGAGGGGCAAGAGATCTGTGCAACAAGCAGCACTAATGTCTAGTTTATTTTACTTCTCAGTACATGACATTTTAGAACAACTCCTGTATGTAATAGTGAAGTGGCTGGTATGTGAGTGGGAACAGGAAAGTTAGATCTGTTCTCTCATGTGCACAGACATTCTGCTCATTAATTGATCACCGTTAAAGCACTATATCACCGCTATGTATTTTTTTCACTGTTAAAAAGCTGTAAGACTTAATTTAAATCATGAAATTGATTGAATATTACAGCATTATTGTTAAAGGAACACTATAGTGCCAGGAAAACAAACTCGTGTAGTCCTTAGGTCCCCCCAACCTCATGGCCCCCCTCCCCCTGCTGGGCTGAAGGGGTTAAAACCCCTTGAGCCACTTACCTTTATCCAGCGCCGGGCTCCCTCTGTGATCGTGACCTCTCTTCCCCCTCCGATGTTGGCTCCCGAGTGGAGCCGAATGCGCATGCGCAGCCAGAGCCGCGCGCGCATTAAAAACGCCCATAGAAAAACATTACTCAATGCTTTCCTATGGACATCAGCATCTTCTCACTGTGATTTTTACAGCATAATTCTCTACCAGCAGAATCGCTAAAAGATGGAGATGGAGTGCACCATATCTGGAGTTCCAAAGGTTGCCTACCCCTGGAGTAGGAAGACAGAAAAGTAAAAGATTATATTTAAAAGAATAGTAAAATGTTATCATACAAACCTTGTTTGTCAGAGATGATTCACAAAAATATGGAACTGGATTAACCCTCAGTGAAACATAGCAGTTTCTCTGAAACTGCTATGTTTTCAGCTGCAGGGCTAAAACTAGAGGGACCTGGCACCCAGACCACTTCATTGAGCTAAAGTGGTCTGGGTGCCTATAGTGGTCCCTTGAGTCTAAAGGGAGTAAACAGCCATTTTTACCAGGACAGACAGGATTGTAACTATAGGATCCCCATTTGTTTTCTTCCCCCATTCTTTCCCACTTAACATATCTTGTTTAGGCCATCTAGCGTGAAATAGCCATTGTGTTACAGGATATCACCATGTACACTTGGACAATTTGCATTGCAGGTAATGAACAGATGAAGGATGGGACAGGATTTTAAAGTGTCTGTGTGTGTAACCCTTTTTTTAATCTTGCGACATATTAAATTATTCACATTATTGCCGCCCTTTTAAATTATTTATAACGGCTTTTCCTTTTGAATTGAGATGAGAAATGATTGGCCATTTTTGAAGCTGATTTAATTTTAAAATCATATTTGTCTTGTGCCCAGGTTACAGAAAATACCAAGGTTACAGAAGGCCAGTACAATTGCATGAAGGGTCAAGTAGTGGCTTCTTGTACTTCACATTTGTCAGAATTCAAGACACCTAACAAAAGACTGGAGAGTGAAAGACACACAGATAAAGCCAAACTCGAAACACGTTTTACCCAATCCAAATCTTTAGAGCATATTGAAAATAGCTGTGGATGCAGCAAGAAAAATTACCCAAAAAAGAGTCTATACATGAGAGAAACAGAGACCAATGTGGACACTGGATATACAGTTGTAAAACGGAGAGGTCATCAGTCTTTGGTCCCTGGATTTTCTAGAAGTTTTACCAAACTAACAATTTCTGAGGATTGTCATATTAACACGCTTGTTCGAACTGACTGTCAAAAGATAGTATCTCAAAAAGTAGAAGCTGTATGTCCTGAAGTTCTCACCGGAAAAATATGCTTGGACAAAGGGAAGTCATTTTTTAATTTGGAAAAGTCACAAGAACTCCATAGCAACTCCAAAGAACAACAAGAAGAATTTTTCATTTAAAATGTGCCAGTGGAGCACTAGTCGTTTAATAAATATTTATAGTATGTACTGATAATTGCATGTATTGGACAGGTTTATCATTTAGGAGAGCTATCCTTTATTGCCTCGCTTTTTAATAAATCAGATTTTCCATATATGTCTGGAGTTCTAGAGAGAGTTGTAGAATAAACTGGATAAAACTGTAAAATAGTAGTTTAAAGGCCACTGGTAGGGTGCAGATCTGGAGTGCCGAAGGTTGCCTACCCCTGCAATGTATGATCCAACAGTCCCAAATGTTGCAGCACAGTCCTAATGTCCCCCTTTTTGAAGTCGTGCTTTTAGGGACCACTATAGTAATGGAGTTCAAAAAGACAGACCTGTCAAGTCACACATTTTTCACACTGTCCTTCTGACCACCAGATAGAGAGTCTACACTTTTTAGGAATGTCAGAGCATTTAATACACAATTGTCCTGAATTTTTCACTTTTTGGTTTTTAAAAGTTTATAACAATTAATGAAACTTTATATTTTTTATTAATCTATATTGATTTTGAAACACATTTTTTTTAAAGGAAACGTTAAAAAAAAAAAAAAATTGGTTCTGCAGCCATCTTTGGTCAGACTCTACTACTGTTATCTGACCAACTGCTGCTCAATATAACATTGCTGCTGATATTGCTCTGTGTGACTGTAGCATCAGGCAATATAGCTTGAGCAGCAGTTGGTCAGGTGACAGTAGAATCTGACCCGACACTTCTCAGCCAGATAAAAATAAATAAATTCAATACCCCTCATTTAAAAAAAATATAATTAAGTTTCATTGTGTCTGCTTCATCATTAAACTAGTTATAGTGTCTGAAATCCCCTTGTACCGTCATTTCATTCAGCATTAAACAGTTTTTAATACTTTTATGTTTTTAATGCTAAATGAGAGTCCCCAGCAGTCCATCCCCTCTGTGCTGCTTTGGATAACAAGAAAGTATTAGCAGATGCAATAAGAGGCAGCTGTAATTGGCTGAGAATGTCAGCTGACTGCTTTTAGCCTATCAGAGCTCCAACTGATGGTATGAAATGTATCACTATGAAATGTATCACTACAAGTAAGTATGTAATCTCTGCCTTAGCCACACCTCCAGAAGGGGCTGGACTGTGGGTGTCCAGGGACATTTACATAGTGTTAGCAGCTCTAAAGCAGTTTAATACTTAATAATACTTTTAATAATGTGATGCAAAAGAGATGAAATAGTTATAGTGGCTACAGTGTCCTTTTCAATGTTTTTTTTACTTTATTAAATACCACAGGTGAAAATTTGATGACAGTTGTCCATCAAGCCCATATGCATGGGGGTAGCAGCGCACAGATTATGGGGCACTGCTATAGCAGGTCTCCTTGAGATGCAATCAGCACACCTAGAGGCCCTTCCCCAAACCAACCAATCACAATGCTGTGCATATGTGCAGCCCTGGATGGATGCATGATACCAAATATCAGCAATGATCACAGTGTTATCAGCACTGTCCCTGTCCCCCTCCTTTCATTCTTCCATCCATTATTCACCATCTCTCAAAATACTGGGAGATAAAAAGAAACAAGGCTATGTGTATCACTGCCATATTGCCATAACAGCACACTCATTTATGCAAAATTGTAACAAATTCAGACTGAATGAGAATGCTTTAACAGCTGCACACTTTGATGTGGCATTTATAATAATAATAATAATAATAATAATATAAACAGTATGTGCTTTTATATTCACTATCCCTTTATGAAGACAAGGGGTGGTATAACTAGAAATATAAACATGCCTGGGTCCACAGGAGATGCTGAATAATCACATGCTTAGAATGTCAGCTGATAAAACACCACGTGACACACACACAGAGCCAAGCACTCTGTACTGGTGAGACATGGCTACAATGCAGTTGTTACTCATTATCTGTTTAGCTGCTATTTGCAATGGCTTTACTTCTGTAAAGTTACACAGGAGACCACCTGACACTGTTGCCTCTGTGGCTGAACGCTGGTTTCTTCAAAAGCTCGACCATTTCAATGGAGCAGACACTAGAGTCTGGCATCAGGCAAGTTACATGGGAAAGCAGAAGTATTTGGTGTAACTGTTTCTTGCAGTGTTCTTAATACTAATATATGTTCTGCTGCTTACCTGGGGGGAGGGGTTGTATCACTATGAATATTTTATCAGTATGCATATTTGGCTTTTTATTAGGATTTGTTGAAATAAACACCCAGGTATGATTATAAATGCTATTTTCATTATGTAGAAAGGGCAGGAAATTATTTAGCAAATGTTCAAAAAAATGTGCAGTTAGAAACTAAATTAGCATCAGTGAGGCAATGGGTTAGCAGGTCATGTCACACACATTAAGGACAGTTCTAGAATTATAAGAACATGCTGTATTAACTATCCACAAACAAATTCGGTACATCTTTGCACTGAAAGAGCAGCTGTCACTTTGGAGGGAAATGCACACTGTTACCACTAAACCACTAACTAAAACATAGCTGTTAATTTTTTTTTTCAATATTTATTCAAACTCTGCTTTTTTTTTTGTTTTTTTTTTGTTTGGTAATTTGCATCAGTTGCACATCCAGGCATGAATTGCCAGTTTTAAATAAGTGCCCTGTGGGAAGCCTATAATGCTGTGCAGTGGATCTTAAATATTATTGTGCATATGGCTACCATGCTCCTCGGTAACAGGGCTATGCTTATAAAAGCCCACAGTGTATCTTGGGACAGTGGCCATGTCACTCACCTGGAATTGCAGTGGGAGAAGTCTCTCTTACTTGCCTCTACTGCCATACCTTACACCGTGACTGCTTTAATAGCATTTGTTTGGGTGAGGAAACAAAGAATTGTCCTCAAATAAAACCGGGGTATTCTCCAAATTTTCGCAAATTAAATCCATCAAATATAGCTAAATTCCTTGTAGGAGGAGCAGGGGAAGGTCTTACTGAATCTGACTGGTCTGCAGTAGACCTAGGAGGGTGGGTACTTTGCAATCTCCAGCACTCAAAACCTAACTTTGAGAATAAATGTTTTACCTTAAAGCAGTACATACCAAAATTTCCATGTCAGTGATGCAATTTGTAGACTTCTATCATTTTGCGACATGGTAATTCTACTAGTAAACCGAGGGTTAAACACTACTACTAACCCCTTATAAGAGAGATTAACACATACTTAAATTGTAATAGTGAAATGATTTTTAGAACAGGGACCAAGCAGCCAACGAAAATTAAAGTTGTGTACTGTTGAAATAAAAACAATTATTTCTGATTCTCAAAGGATTATGCTAGCATTGAGCTACTAACGGTTCTGACCAAAAACAAACTGAAGAAGTAGTGTATGAAATGCAGAGGCTGTATGTGCTTGCTGATTTTTGTAACAGGGACTCTGCCATGGTCAATGTTGACGTGATGCCCCACTTCCACTGCGCAATAGCCTTGACCGCAGTCCATACACTATAAGGGAAATAGTGCAATCTTTATCTGTGTAAAATGGTCGTGCTTGCAAGACACACCTGCACATTCCAGCCGGCACACTAACTTGTCGTGACACAGTTTGGCAAGCACTGCCTTAAAGGGACACTATAGGTACCCAGACCACTTCATCTCATTGAAGGGTCTTGGTGCAGTGTCCCAGTCCCCCTTCGCCCTGCAATGTTTTAGAGAAATATTTACATTGCAGTGCTAAGGCTGTCTCTAGTGGCTGTTTACCATACAGTCACTAGAGGTGCTTCTTGCGGTTTCATGTCAAGCAAAACCCCATAAGAAAGCTTTTATTCAAGGATCCCACTTAACGTCTGACTTTGGTGGAGGAGTGCCATGCTGGATTCAGGCAAGTGAATGAGGTTGTGGTTGTGTTTTTTTTACTTCCATGGGGGGGAGAGGGCGGTACAGGAGCAGAGGGACACTTTAGTGTTAGAAATGCATCTTTGTATTCCAAAAACTAAAGTGATCCTTTAAATTTTTCTAAAAATAAACCACTCATGTACCCCGATACTAAATTTAACCAGTCTCTAGCCCTAGACCCAATAATCCAAAATGGCCCTTATATTACAACTTCAACCCCTCTAAAACTTTATCCTCTTAACACTATATATATATATATATATATATATATATATATATATATATATATATATATATATATATATATATATATATATATATATATATATACCCTTTGTAATCTAATTCTGACATTTGCCCCTTACACCCCCATTTAATCCTGCATATGTTTACATAACTGCATTCACTAACTATACTCTGATTCAAAACACAATACATTACAAGTATGAATATACATACATTTATACATATATGGTTTTAGGCCTGTAATGTCCAGTTAAAGGACCACTCTAAACACCCAGAGCACTTCAGCTTAATGAAGTGGTCTGGGTGCCAGGTCCAGCTAGGGTTAACCCATTTTTTCATAAACATAGCAGTTTCAGAGAAACTGCTATGTTTGTGAATGGGTTAAGCCTTCCCCTATTTCCTCTAGTGGCTGTCTCATTGACAGCCGCTAGAACGCGCTTGCGTGCTTCTCACTGTGAAAATCACAGTGAGAGCACGCAAGCGTCCATAGGAAAGCATTATGAATGCTTACCTATGTGACCGGCTGAATGCGCGCGCAGCTCTTGCCGCGCGTGCGCATTCAGCCGACGGGGAGGAGAAGAGGAGGATCGGAGGAGGAGAGCTCCCCACCCAGCGCTGGAAAAAAGGCAAGTTTTAACCCCTTTCCAGAGCCGGGCAGGAGTGGGACCCTGAGGGTGGGGGCACCCTCAGGGCACTATAGTGGTCCTTTTAATAAATTAAGCTTTACCTGCCTTTTTTTTTTTTTAATTGGGGTTTAGTTGCAGGGGGCACATTAGAATTTATGTTTACAGACGTCTGACCTATAAATACGTCCCCGGACCTACCCCTGCTTTGCACTTACTAAATCTTTCTTCTCATTTTTTCCCCCCCTATATTCATTGCTTATTCCTTTCTCCTTGCATCCCTTGCTTTTTACTCTCAAAACTTTAAAGGGACACTATTGTCAACCAGACCACTTCAGTTCAATGAAATGGTCTGGGTGCCAGGTCCCCCAGGTTTTAACCCTTCAGATGTAAATTAAGCAGTTTCAGAGAAACTGCTATGTTTACATTACAGGATTAAAGGACAGCTATGGTGCCAGGAAAACAAACTAGTTTTCCTGGCACTATAGTGTTAATAGGTTCTCCCTCCCCCACCCTCAGGGTCCCCCTCACGCCAGTCTCTAGGGGGAGGAAGGGGTTAAATGCTTACCTTTCTCCAGCACCGGGCTCACTTGGCGCTTGGAACTCTCCTCCCTCTTCCGACGTCATCGGCTGCGCAAGAGCCGTGCGCGCAGTCAGTCAATTGGAAAGCATTTCTCAATGCTTTCCTATGGACGCTGGTGTCTTCTCACTGTGAAA